CGGGAGGCAGCCGCCAGGAGTTCCTCTCGATGTTGACGCTGGCGTTCATAGCGGCCTCCTCCTCCGCCTCCCGTGTCCTTCGTCGTTCTTAACAGCTTCGTCCTTGCACAAACACTTGCCCAAGGTCCCCAGGGTAACCCCCGGGCCACTCCTGGGGCCGAGGTCTTACACCAGCAATCCACAGTTCCTCACCTGGAACAAGGTGAACGAAATTGGTTCAATTTGAGCACCGAAGCATTATAAATTGTTTGTCGAGTCAGGTTAAAATTATATTAAGTTATAGTTAATAAATTACAGTGGAACTCAATTTATCTGAACTCTATTTATTGAAACGAAACTTTATTTAACGATTTAACTGAACGCAAGCCTCTATTAGGTGAATAAAATATAATGGATAACGCGAAGGATTTCTCAGCTCGTATTATATGAATTCCAATTATATAAACTGTTTTGTTCCCCGACAAGTTCGAGTAAATGGAGCTTTACCGTAGAAGTATTACGATGGATAGTATCACTTAAAATGGGGAATTTTTCTTCGTTAACTAGTCATGGAATAAGGAAAAGTTCTTTCATCAAAGATACATAATCTCCTTTTTCTTCATTCTTAGTCTCATTTTGTAAGATTACTCTTGTAAACTCTATCAGTATTCGCTATTTGATTTCAAAGCCAAGATGAGGCCAACTTTATTCTCTCCCATTTCATCATTTATTTCCGCTTTCTTCTTCTTCTTTTCCTTTCCTCTCAACTACGGGGTATCAAACAAGACTATATAAGTACCAGAAACGATAACAAGGCTACTGTTCTGCGTTTTGCCGCTCCTTAAACAAGACACACGGCCCGATAAAGTTTCATCCAGTTAGAGGGTAATCGAAGAAAGATTGAAGAACAGTTTCTGAAAGAATTCACGAAGGGCAAGGTAGAAGTGGATAGAAGAATAACAAGAAACTAGAACTGAAAATCGAATTGAGCCACGGCAATCGGTTAAGTTAAACACGAAGATAAATAACGAATCGAAACTTTATCGAAACACGGCCTCGTCGTTTGGATTCCATGATCGAGTGAATAGTGTGAATCGTTTTCAGGTCGATTAATATCGATTTTTCTATTAGAGCTTCGGTCAGCGAGGATAAAGGTTAAGGACGATTCTCATGAAATGTCATGGTAATTTGCATGAGACGCTTCATCGACATTCTTGTCTGCCACTTCGTTAGTCTTATCTGATTTTTATTCCCGCCGATGATCACGTAAATTATTTATAGCGTCGTTTCATAATTTTAATTTGGCGATAATTTTCGCTAATTATCAAGTTCCATTACGTCATCGAATTTAATCAATTTGAAAATGATAATAAATCCCTGATTTTTAGAATTGAGAACGTATTTAGGTTAATAAATGATATACACGTCCATTCATAAGTATTAGGTCACTAGCCTTAAAAGTTAAACTAAATGATTTTACCACTTACAGCGTTTAAATTTGCATTTAATATAAAGTTTCGATTCTTTTTCCTTAAAATGTTAAACACTTAAAATCTTAAATTATCAATTATAGCACATTTCATAACTCTTCTAGCTCCATGATGTCAAGCAACGTCAATATATGTCCTACAAGTTCGTGGAAAGCATGAATGGACACTTTGAATCATTGACGAGGGATAGGGACAAAGGATAATTACGAATTCTCCAGGGAATTAAACCTGAATAAAGGATTACACCGCTCGGCCTGTCCGCCATCCCCTATGAATAATTTAATTAAAGTCAAAATTTCCGGACGAGAACGCACACAGCCAGCCATTAGTTTATTTTCAATTTAAATTTCAAATCGCGATTAAGCCTGCGCCGGTATGTACAATAAATTCTAAATGCATGCGAGCTGCTGCATCGTACGCTAAACTTAAGAAACGAATTACGAAACGATTAACACTTCTGTATCTCCACGTATACGAGTATTGTGAACTATTTTATCAATATTAATATTAAACAGGAACAGAAGCTTTAGTAAAACTGAATTAATTTCTTTCAGTTTCTATTCTTATTTTCTAATCTTCTTTATACACCTAAAGGAAAATACTCTTAAATTCTTTGTTAAGCAATAATTTCAATAATTAATGTTCTTGATAATCCATGCTCTGATAATCACGATTTTATTGCGCTATAACTCCATTTAAGTATCCAGATATTCATGAACGAGATAGTACACATCTCTTTTACATCTTTATCATATCTCCGTCATCATAATGCACTCACGAGAGTTTAATGTTCCATCATTTCCAAATCTTCCACGTTTAGACGTCCTTATCTACTCGTCGACCCTTCAGGAAGCTCCGGTGAATTTTCGAGATCCTTTATAGTTCAGACGAAGCACATCTCGCAACTAACCTAACACAACATCGTGATCGGAACATCGCGCGAGTCCTTGAAAACTTAAATGCATCCTTCGCGGACGAACATTCGCCGAGTACCTTAGTAGGTAGAGATTTTGAGGAAACTCTTCACGTTCTGGAAAATCGTCTGGATATACGGCTAGCTACAGATGAGCCTGAACTTATGGGACTCAGGAGACGTGGAACTAGGCCCGATACCTTGACACCAAAGAAGTATGTTTCAAGGGACTCGATAGTTGTTACTCGTATCGACATCGAGTAGGATTAGATGCTCCCCGAGGCGTTGAACTTTGGTCTCGAAGATGTTTCACTCGTGAGAGCTCTGAATTGATGTAATAACAGTTTTACTCCATCAGTCTTTAGTGATTTTAGAGTTTTAAAGATAAATGTTGGTATCTGCTGCGCTGTAGTATTTATTTTCAGTCGAAAAATGTATCTCTTTTGGAGGTGGCAGGATATTCTTTATCCTTAAATAATAGAATTCGGTATTTTTATTTCGGTAGAAATCGAACGTTTTCTAAGTTCTAAACTTCGACGTGCTTGACATTTGAATTTCGACTCCTAAATTGCACAATTCGACATAGATAACCTTCGAACTGTAGAACTTGATATCCTTTGACATCCAAATTACAGCATTCCACCTAAACGGCCATTAATTTAGAGAACTCGATACGAACTCGAGAAATGACCTCCAAATTGGAGAACTCTATACCCTCGATCACCAAATTAGAGAATTCGATCTGAATGACATTTGCAATTACAAAGTATCGTAGAGATCGCATGTTTTGAATCAAAATAAAACCAGACCATTATAAAGGGAAAGTTTCAATCTTCAAATTCATGGTAATCCAAGTCTTATAAAATATTCATTTAGCTCCATTGATACGAGCATGCATCAATTCGGTAACAAGCAAAGACAAAGGACGGATGAGGGATAATGATTTCCCAATAATTTGCCTTGTTTCCCTTGTTTTTCTATGCTAATATTTTTAAAAGAAGGTTTTTCTAATAGTAAAACATTTATATAATTATATTTATATATTGAAATAATTATAATAGAATGGCTGTATTTATATTGATCCTCCGCGAGTAGGTTTCTTACAGTCAGCATGTTATGTACAAAATTTACGAAATTCGAAACCGGATGATCGCTAGATCAACCGCGGAGATTAACATTCTCCGTAATATCAGGCGCTCATTCGGTAGACCGCCTGAACGCGTTCCGGAAGCGACTGTGAAACATAGATCGTGATAACGAACTAGCGATTCAGCTGGCGGGAATTTATGGGACGTAAAAGGAATGCAAAGAGCAGGAAATACGAACGGCACGAGAAACGCACGATACTTCCTTTCCGCCTCGGATTCATCGTCCTTCCACTCTTACGCTTCACTCGCAACACGCCTCCACCATTTAAATTCTCGTGATTGCATTTATAAAACTGCGTCGCGGAACAGCGATTTAACTGCCGGTGCCTGCCGGCCATTAACCTGAAACTTTTATTCACGCTGCTATAGACCAAGCGTCATTTTTGTCACCATAGAGAATGGCGCATTTTACGTTTTTGTATCACGCCATTTCCATCGTTTATCATGTGCTCGTGTCTTTCCTTGATATAAGCGGATGTCTTCGCACTGTATTACTTACGATGCGTGTAACGATAGTGAAATATCCGAATCTCTTCTAAGTAAGAATAGTTACTTCGATTAAACTAACTAAAGAAATAAAAGATGAGAAGACATCGATATGCAAGTTTAAATGGTTATTAATCACAATATAAGAGTAATATATGTCGAGTTCTCATTATGATTAGGGTCAGGGGCATGAAACGAATCCTCATTTGGACTACACATTGTTGATATGCCATGGAGAAGACATTGACTAGTGCAAATACGACTACTACAGAATTTGACAAGTAACCGCGGTAATCAGACACTCGAGAAGCTAATGACAATGATCCTAGGTCCAACAACGAATCCGCGGTCAACGGCGTAGCAGAATGCGCTCTCTTCCAAAGCCCAAGTCGTAATCGACTTGCTTGGCTACAGTGAAAGTATTACTAAACTAACTCTTTGTTAAAACGTGGAATATCCACCGAAGGTAAAGACAACAAATCACTCGCTAATACGACCTCATGAGAGAGAATGACTCTGTCGCGATGATGCTCCAGAGGAAAACTATGATGGGGTGTGCCTAAGGATACGAGATCATCGGATTCGTCGGGGATAGCCTTCGTTCAGAAAGTGAGGGAAATTGATGCTGCTGTTAATTGGTCAATTTCCATGTTGGTGTTTAGAGAAGGATGTTAGCCGCCCTTGAGGGAAAGTTGCTAGTGGAAGCGTTGTTCGTGAGAAAAACAAATTTTTCCGATCTTCCCATAGTTGGGACAAGGAATGCTTGTCCGTTTGAAAAACCTTAATTAACAAAATCCTGTTTATAGCGGGTCCTCAGGCTAGCTGAACTTGTGCTGTGTAGGTGCATCGATATCTGGTAATCATTTTGCCCGAACGAACCGTTGGAATGTTCACTGTCGAGTACCTCTACAGATATTTCTTTTAATGAGGACTATATTATTACTCCATACCTTTGTTAGACGGAACGTTCGTCCCGTTGACCGCGGCTACGTTCGGCGACTGATTGTCGCCTTGAGCTCAAGCTCATTGTCACAAATCTCAAATAAATACAATTGGGTAAAATGACGGCAAATTGTTTAATTACAACTATAGACTTTAATTACAATTTCCTGAAAGTTCCAAAGGGGAGGTTCCGGTGTCCTTTCATCTCCGACATATATAATATAATAATATAAG